TTAGGGATGCTGATTACGAATCTATTGTCACTTCTTTAAAATTCAAAATAGCGGATCCAATATGGCGGACAATTTTTTAAAAAGTGATTAGATTCGCTTGAAAATAGTTACTCGGGGGTTTTTGGGGATTCTGATTACGAATCTGATGTCACTTCTTCAAAACTAAAAATGGTGGATCCAATATGGCTGACCATTTTTTAAAAAGTAATTGCATTTGCTTCAAAATGGTCATTCGGCGGTTTTTGTTTATATTATTTACGAATCTGACTTCAGAACAATATTATGTTTATCCTCCACGTCCGTAAGCCGTCAACAAAATTTTAATGACGTTGCTCAGCTCTTACGACAAGGAGGTCGACGTGCAAAAAAGCTACTTTTTTTTATTTTATTTTTAAAATTTTGTTTGTTTTTTTTTTATTTTAAAATTTTTTTTTGTATATTTTAATATTTTTTTAAATAAATAATATAAAATTTTAATTCTGCTTTCTAAATCTAAATCAACGATAATTATGACACTTATATAATTATGACATTTTTTTTATACAATGGTAAAAAGAGACTAACACATGGTTTGATTAAAAACAAGTGACGCACATATATATGCCACATTGAATGCACAATTTGTGTGTCCTTTTGTTGCACTTTGCATGATAGTGGCTATATTTTTTGAGGCAAAATAAAAAAAAATTTAAATAGAATTAAAAAAAGTGGCTTTTTTTTCACGTCGACCTCCTTGTGGTAAGAGCAACGATAAACCTAATATTGTTCTGATGTTAAATTCGTAATCAGCGACCCTAAAAACGTCGGAGTAACCATTTTCAAGCAAATTTAATCACTTTTTAAAAAATTTTCCGCCATATTGGATAAGCCATTTTGAATTTTGAAAAACTGATATCAGATTCGTAATCAGCAACCTCAAAAACCCCCAAGTAACAATTTTCAAGCAAATCCAATTACTTTTTAAAAAATATGTCCGCCATATTGGATCCGCCATTTTGAATTTTAAAAAATTAACATCAGATTCGTAATCGGCGACCCAAAAAACCCCCGAGTAATCATTTTCAATCAAATCTATTAACTTTTGAAAAACATTACCCGAAAATTTTTTTCGGCCTTTTGCATTTTGGAAAAATGGCCATTTTCATATCCGCCATCTTGAATTTAATAAAAAGTAATTATGGATTTTTATAGCTGAGAGTTCGAGGACGCGATATTTTGTGCTTTGGAGACCATATTCTTTAGTTTTTCATGTCAAAATAATAATTAAAAAAAATTTTTTTCATAAAAAGTGTTTTTTTGCAATAAAATTGTTATAAATTTTTATGAGATAATTATAAACAAATTTTAGCTTCTTATTCAGAAAGAGCGATAAATTTTACGTCGGAAATGGTATTTCCTAAAATTTTTAACTAATTATTTCATACAAAATAAGAGTCGTGAAATCATGGTATATTTTGCGTCCTGGGGTGCTATTCTGTAACTTCACTTCACTTTCACTTCACTTTCACTTCACATTCACTTCACATTCACTTCACATTCACATTCACTTCACATTCACTTCACATTCACTTCACATTCGCATTCACTTCACATTCGCTTCACACTCACTTCACATTCACTTCACATTCACTTCACTTTTCACTTTCAATGCGAAGTGAATGTGGAGTGAAAGTGAAGTGAATGTGAAGTGAAAGTGAAGTGAATGTGAAGTGAATGTTAAGTGAATGTGAAGTGAATGTGAAATGAATGTGAATGTGAAGTGAATGTAAAGTGAATGTGAATGTGAAGTGAATGTGAAGTGAATGTGAAGTGAAAGTGAAGTGAAAGTGAAGTGAATGTGAAGCGAATGTGAAGTGAATGTGAAGTGAATGTGAAGTGAATGTGAAGTGAAAGTGAAGTGAATGTGAAGTGAAGTTACATGGTGGGCGTTAATGGGTTAAATTGCATTGGAAAGCTTATTAAATTTTCAATGAAATGACACTATTTTAAGTTGTATTGCATAAATAGGAAGCGAGATATCATATTATGAAGACAAAAAAAAATTATATTTTTTTCGGAATTTCTTACCCTGACTTTGACTCCTGGCAAAATTAAGAAAATTTGATGAAATAAATTGTTACTTTCACAGAATATTCCTTGTAATCTAAGCATTAAATAAAGACAAAGAACAGCAAAAAATATTAACGGGTTCCCGAGATATTACAAAAAGAGTCGGACCGCTGAGTCAGTTGCGCGTGGCTGTGAAAAAAGTGTCGAGAATGAATTTTACCAAGTACATTCTTACTGGGATTTACTTATTAAATATCTTTATATAATATATTAAATTAAAAAGTGGATCCCAGTAAGTATGTATTTGGTAAAATTAATTTTCGACACTTTTTTCACAGCCACGCAATTGACTCAGCAGAGAATTAGAGAAATCGATAATTGAAAGTATTGCTTCGCATGGTCCGACTCTTTTTGTAATATCTCGGGAACCCGTAAATAGTTTTTTGCTGTTTTTGGTCTTTATTTAATGCTTAGATTACAAGAAATAGTCTGTGAAAGTAACAATTTTTTTCATCAACTTTTCTAAATTTTGCCAGGATTCAAAGTCAGGGTAAGAAATTCCGAAAAAAATAGAATTACTTTTTTGTCTTCATAACATAATATCTCGCTTCCTATTTATGCAATACAACTTAAAATAGTGTCATTTCATTGGAAATTCAAGAAGCTTTCCAATGCAATTTAAACAAGTTGTTCATTTCATGATCATTAAGCTTCCTCAATATAATATATAGCAATTGTTTAATTTTTTATTTTAGAATAATTATTTTAAAGTGTTAAGATAAAATTTCAAAAAATACAAAATTTCAATTTTTTGTGAAAAATTAAAATATTTATTAATTCTATAAATTTTGATAAAATATATACTTTATATACATGAATCGATTTGTTTTTATGTCAGGAATGCAATTTTGCCAAGAATTAATAAACATTTTAATATAGAAAAAAGTTATTTCAAAAAATCCAAAAATTAATTTTTTCAAAAATTAAAAAATTGTTGAAAAAATTTTTTTTTTAGATATTTTTGAAAATCCTTTTGTCTGATTTTTGGTATTCGTGACCGTAATACACCTACAAAATTTTATCAAAATCCGTCAAGACGTGTAAGAGAAAATTTGTCCACAAGAATCGGTGACATACACACACACACACACACACACACATACACACATACATCCGGACATTTGTTCCTCTCGACGAATTATGTATACTACACTTGAAAATTTGTAAAAATAATTGATTCTAAAAAATTCGGAAATCGACATCACTATAAGGCTTCCTTTATGAGGAAGCAAAAAAGCATCTAGCTTCATTTTTAACGGAGTTATCACTCTTTCTGTGCGGGTGTGTTTTTTAATAGCTCGAGATGTTAGCGTTCGCACAATTTCCGTCGGTACTGTACCTTCATAAGAAATAATTTTCTCAAACGCCTTTTTTACTCCACCATTATTCACAGATGCATAATTAGGTGATATAGTCTTTTTCACCTGCTTTGTCGGTTCCTTTTTCGAATTTTCAAAATATACAGGATGCTGTGTTTTTAAATGCTTTAACATATTTGTCGTATTGACATTCATTTTAAATTTTTTATGAAAGTATTAGCATTTAAGACAATTTCTTTTTAATTTTATAATGTGGCCCCATATTGAACTAAAAAGAATGTTTAATGTTAATGTCTTTCCATTAAAAATTTTTTTTTTTGAAGAGTTAATAAAAAATATCTACTTAGATTTTTGTAAAATTCCATTTAAACTTTAAGATTCAGGTGGAACTTGTTCAACAGTTCTGATAAGGGAGCGTTCACAAATGATGTCACGCAATTTTTCGGAATTTTAGACCCCCCTTCCCCCTGTCACGCAATTTCATGCAATTTCCCATATAAAAATACATTGTGTCACGTTTAGTAGAGACCCCCCCCCTACCCCCAAAAACGTGACATCATTTGTGAACGCTCCCTAATTTGATTTGATCGAGTAGAATTTAGGTAGAATCGTCCAGCCCTATTAAGCTAGAGTCGTGAAAGAGAGGATAGAGCTCGAGCGAGAAAGAGGTGAAGTGGCACTATTGGTAGAGTGGACTGTATTATGTCGCAATGTCATGACCCAGTAAGAAACGAAAAATTGAAAAGTATTAAAAAGATTCTATTCTTTTGAATGCCATTTCTGTCCAATACTTTTCTATCCAGTGAGAGCAATATGAAAATTAACGATATCAATCCTCTTGAATACCCAGTAAGAAAGCAAAGATTAAGAAGCATTAAAAAAATTCTATCCTTTTGAATACCATTTCTGCCCTATGCTTCTGAATTCTGCGACAGTAGTATAATAATATAATACTAATATTATTGACATATAGAATGTTCAATTACTTTCAAATAACTGCACTCATGAATTTATTTGCTATTTTAAAAAGGAATAATTATTAAATTATCAGTTAAGAGGGTTAAAAGTGTTTAAAGGTCTCTGAAATTTTTAGGTTATGATTTATTGTCTAACAGAATAACGGCCCTGACTCGTTTAAATGACGTTAAATTGGTAAACAATCAATTTTTCAGCAAGTTTTTCTTTGAACACAAACACTTTTTACAAAATCTGCCACTGTATGTATCTTATAAATTACAAAAATTCAGAAGATTGCTTGAATGCATGCAGAAACGCAGTTCCAATGAAAAATTGAAAAGTGATATAATGACAGGCTGTAATAATTTCGGATGGGATTGGAAAGCATTCAGAAAAAAATTTTGTCTTTGTTAAAAATTACAAAAAGAATTGAATAGCATTCATTTTTAGACGAAACGTGGTCCTATCATGGTATAGAAAAGTATTGGACAGAAATGGCATTCAAAAGTATTGGATAATTTCTACTACACCATACAGAGTTTGAATTATTTCAATCCTTTTCAATTTTTCGTTTCTTACTGGGGAAATTTGAAATAATATTTTACAAAATTTTAGATTATCCTGGGAGATTATATTCCACTGTGAACGTATACGTTAATAAGATCTGGTCTCCATTGTTGGATTCAGTGTTAAAAATTGGAAATATGCAATTATTAAGGCATTTAATTTCTTTTACATTAAACACAGAATGTAAATTTGAGGCGAAACATATGGAAGGTGCTCTGAAAACTTTAAATGAGTAAGCATAAGACATAATTTTTAGTATTTAATTAAATAATTAAACTTTAACATAATTTTAATATAAAAATACATGATTTGAAAACTTTTTAAAATAGTTTAAGTAAAACCACTGCATACGAAGGGGTTTGAACTCCAAAGAACGGCGTTTTTATTAATTTTTGAATATTTTTATAGATGAAACATGTCATGCTACAAACTTTATTAATATCAAAAATTAAAGGCTGAAAAAAGCTCTTTCGAATTGTAAACAAACTAAAGACTAAAGTTGGAATTTTTTTGCACGTTCCATTTCCATAAAAATTAAACAATTGTCAGGGGAGTAATTAAATAAAACATTTCTTTAAGTGATGGCAGGTTTATTAAAATAAATATGATCTTATTGGACCGAAGGTTCACCACAAACTGCCCGGGTAGCAATTGAAGTCTGGATCAGGTCTGGAACTGATCTGGTTAGATCTGGGACAAATCTGGTAACCAATCAGTAGATAGGCAGTGCCGGTTCTAACTAGAGATCCCTGCACCGACATGTTACCGACACTTTTAGCCCAGACTCAAACCATTTAGTCAAGACTCAAACCATTGTGTGTGGGGCGGAAATGACGTCATTCACAGATTCCTGCACCGACACTTTTAGCCCAGACTCAAACCATTTGGGGGAGGGTGCGATTCAGACCATGATTCTGAGGCGGATATCACATCACGGGGGAGGGTGCGATTCAGACTATGATTCTGAGGCGGATATGACATCACGGGGGAGGGTGTGATTCAGACCATGATGCTGAGATGGATATGGCGTCACACTTCCTAGAATTTTTGCTTGAGCAATTTGATATATTCTTATCTAAGGAATTTTTACCATTTACTTGTTGTTTATAATGTCTTTGATTTATCTAAGGAATTTTTCCCACATGTAATTTGATACCTATTTATTTCTTGGAATTATTGTCTTTATTTAAGCTATTGTTTTACATGTAATTTGATATCTTGTTTATTAGATTCTTATCTAAGGAATTCTTCCCATGTACTTGTTGTTTATGATATCTTTGATTTATTGCTTCCGGTCAACATTTTCGGTACTTTTCATAAAAATGCTTTTGATCTTACCGCAATTCTAAGAAAACTATAATTAAATTCAAGGTTAAATAGGTCATATCTTGTGTATGTATATAAAGAGAGCAATTTTTCTAAACGAAATCATTCCTGCAGTTTAAGTTGGCTGATGAACATATTATTAGCAAAGCATAGTGAAATTCAAGTGCGATTAAACAAATTAATACAAGAAATTGATAAAGTTAAAAGTTTAATTGAAGAAAGGTCACAGTTAAATATTTTAGTGAAAAAATTGAAGTGATAAAAATGAATTTCGATAAATTAAACAAGGCAAGCAAAGTCTTGGTCACCAAAACCATAAAGGAGTTAACCATCGATGCATTCTATAAAGTAACAGACATTCGAAAAACTGATACGAAATTTGGTCCGAAAATTATTGCTGAAATAAATAATGAATTTAACATTTTTCTACCACCAAGAATGCTAAAAATATTTGAAGAGGATGCAAATCTTTTCAACAGTCTGAAAGCAGAAACTGTAAAAGGTGGTGTATATTTAAGAAATCGTGGAGGACTTTACAATCAAATAGAGTTTGTTCCTGAGGGAGTTGACCAGTAGAAGACAAAAAAATGTCATATTTACCATGTCGAGAAATGTTATTATCAAAAATTTACAACTTAAATCCATCATTTACAAAACTTGTTGTCGTTGGAGCAGAACTGGACACAAATGGAAATATAATACCAAAAATTCAACTAAGAAGCAGCCATCCACGAGTATCATTGTCTTTGGAACTTCAAGAATGGCGCCTTTTGTGTGATGCAGTAAAACATATCATGCAATTTTTCAATGGAGATTGTGATGCAACAGTATTGGATTGTGAAACGTTTACAATACGTTTTAGTGTTACATATCGTTTAATATCAATTGAGCGTTCAGATCAATCTTTTACATTTAGTGAAACGTCATTTGCAATATTTAATGAACTTATTCCTTGTGTCAAACAAAAATATGTAGAACTATCAAAATTCAATTTGCAGTATAGTAAAGATATAATTGTAAAGTCTATTGCAGAATTAATCTTTAAAAATAATGTAAAGTGTACAAAACATGCCACGGATTTTATTAAAAAACATTACAGTAGAATACTTCAAAAAGTGATGGGAAGAACTAATGTTTTAAATTTAGAGACATTATTGCTGGAACTTGTCACATTTCACTGCAAACAATTATCAAATGAAGCTATTCATCAAATGTCAAATATTCAATGTATAAATGGTCGTTTATTGTAAAAGAGAGGATAAATAAATACAAGAATGCATACAATTCAATTTATTTTTATTTTAACCTTTCTCAAATACATTATAATTCAGATTCGTTTATCCAACTGTTATGAGAATTATCAAAACCTAACCATTTTACAAATACATTAGATCCTCGTTTTTTTAATACTTTTTCAACTAAATATACATCTGGATATTTAACTTTAGAAAGTTCTTGCTCGTAAAAACATCCACTTATTAGATTTTCCTGATAATCCTTCAAGATATATGTTATTGGATTAGTATTTTTTACATCGCTTATAGTAAATATTTCTGTAGTCCAATTTGGTGTATAATCTTTCTCAAAAACATGTTTAACTTTACTTATACGTACTCTATCTCCAACTTTAAATTTCTTATTATATTGCCTGTTTACTGCAACTTTTTTCAAAACATTTAACAATAAATTATTTTCATTTTGAGCATTTAAATCTTTCGGTTTCATTCTTATTGTCCGATGTTTACTATTATTATACGCATTTACTAAATCACTTAATATGTCTATCCATTTGTAATTACCGCGTAAACTAAATTGCATCCACATTTTATTCTTCAAAGTACGATTAAATCGCTCACAAATTGATGCTTTCAAATTACTATGCGTAGAATACAAGTTAATGTTATAACTTTTAATGAGATTTTCAAACTGTGAATTATAAAACTCTTTTCCTTTATCTACTTGCAAATTTTTTGGTATACGTTTTTTAAATAAAATAGATTTCATTGCCGCAGTCACATCTTCACCTTTTTTGGACTTTACTGGAACAGCCCAAGCAAACTTTGAAAATGTATCAATGACGGTTAACAGGTACTTGTAACCTTTATTTTCTCTAGCATAAGGTTGCATTTCAACAAGATCAGCTTGCCAAGTCTCGTCAATACCTCGAATGTCAACATTTCTTCGCTTATAATTTTTTCTCGCTGGTTTATGTAACTCTTTCACCAACTGTAGTTTTTGATCCTCCATTGTTAATTACCTTCAAGTGTGCGCAGTCTGCTGTCTAATTGTAAAATAATCTCTTTGCTGGTAGACATCATCTCTATATTTCTTTCAATACTGATTCTTAGATTTTCAAAATATTTTTTTATCAAATCTTCTATCTCTGCAATCTTTACAACATTGTCATTTATATCATTTCTCACAGAACCGATTACATCATAGATGGTGTTCGTTTTAGATTCAATAACTTTGTTTACAGTATTCAAGTTTACTGCATCACTGTTGCTCTCATCATCAGCTACGTTACAAAGTTTCTTATTTTCAATATTAAAATCTCCTTCACCAGTCAACTTAAAACCAAGTCCTGGTGGACCTCGATTTGAAGTTTCTGTGCTTTTAAACTGACGTCCGAATATGTCGATACTCATCATGAAAATGATAAAAATTTCTACAACTGTTAATTAATAAACAATTCCAGCTTCTCTCAACTCTTCAATAATTGATATAATCTCATTATTATGACTGGGATTTCCAGCTGCTTGAGATGCCAAGAGCAATCTTAAACGATCAACCAATTCATTAGGATCATCCCAATAAACATAATCAATTTTTGTATCTTCTTGTTGAGTCATATATTCTGGAATTAAACCTTCACCAGAATGTACTGCTATATAGTTTAGATATTTTAAACTCTTTTTATCTCTAACAGCGCCATCTGCTTTGTAATATTTTTTATGAGCATTAGTTGATATTACAATATTTTTATAATTTTCTCGATCAACTACACTTAAAACAGCTTCTTCTGGAACTTTTTTGAATAAAAGCTCAAGTAAACCTTTCGTTGCAGGATATGTTTTATTACCTACACTAATATTATTTTGTTCAAAATTTATTCCTGAATTACCAATCATTAATTGCCCTTTAGATAATTTACGAACTCCATATGAAGGATCTAAATCTTTTCCCTTTTCATCCAACATTTGAAGATATAAAATAGCACCATCTTTCTCTGATTTATCTCCATTATCATCTGCATCATCATCATAATCATAATCATCACCGTTATTGTCATCATAATCATCACCGTTATCGTCATCATCAGCAGCTGTTGCAAACGATAAGTCATCTCTTAAAAATGAATCATTCTCTCTCTTAACTTCTTGATCTTCTTCAAACTCTAAAGGAAGGTCTCCCTCTCTTTCAATTTTTACTGGTCGAATTTGTTTGACAATTTCAATGTCGTCAACTAATTTCTGAATTGGTGTCACTATAGGTTTAAACGTATTATTTAAAGTCTGTTCAATTTCTTCCTTGCCCAATTTCATCAGTCTATGCTTTCGTCGAATAGCATCACTGGCTTTCGCAATTTGACCAAGAATATTAAATATTAAATATTAATTAATATTAAAAGAGCAAGTAAAGCATTTGTCTTTCCACAATTTGACGGTCCACAAAATATTGCTCGCACACTATTTGGCAATAAATTTCCATGACGATTTTCTGTTTTCTTATTACAATCTTGAACAAGAGTGTCAAAATTGTAGACTGGCAATTTGATCGACTGTGCTTCAAACTCCATTCTTACGATAACTGAGGTTAAAACTATAAATACAAGGTTTTTAATAGTTTCAATGTCAGTTCACTGTAGACGCTTGTAACGTTTGCATGCAAGTTCAATAATGACGT